ATCAACGCCTGCTATTGGTACAGCCGGCTCAGAAGCATATCCGAGTGATCGATGGTATCCTGCTGTACCATTCAATAAGAGCGATTTTAATGCTGCCTGTTCAATTGAAAACTATAATGATCCAAAACAAGTTATCATCCTTTCGTATCAGTCTTTTACATTCAGATTTCAGATCAGCCCATAGAAGTATTGACAAAAGACACTCGCGTTGCTCATTTGATGACTTCACATAACAACTGGAACTTTGACGTCAACTTCTATTTTATAATATAACGTTGGTATTGGCTGTGGTTGTTTAAACAAATTGATGATTACTTTTATGCCTAGAACTAGAACTGTTCACTACTTACGTTGATTTCCTGTGATTGTCTTTGAGCATTCGAACATCTTTTCTCTGTAAAGCTCGATGAGATTGTACATGCTTTTTCGTTGATTGCTTGTTTTGTGATGTTTTCGTTATCTGATTGATTCTGAAAACTATCGTGAGAGGCTATATCATCATCAAATCCATTGAAAAGTTGCCAATGCTTCCTGCTTGATAATTGCCTCAGTTGCCTTTAATTGCTTATGTCTGAGAATTCCCTTTTCGAAAACTGTTTTGAGTGACTACAGATGAGAAAAACGAATAAAAGGAAAATTAAAGCATTTTATTGATTTTGAAGCATTTTAGCTACAAAATTGTAATAACTCTAAGTGCCGAAAAAAAATTTGAGCAGGACGGTGGGGCGTTTGCTCCTTTTTAATCCACCAAAATGAATTTAAAGGAATAAAAATATTTACCTCATTTCTCGGCTGAAGTCCTTGATGAATTTCAATCACACATTACGATTAAGCAACGTCTTCTGAGATCAGATTTCAGATCAGCCCATGGAAGTATTGACAATAGACACTCGCGTTGCTCATTTGATGACTTCACATAACAACTGGAACTTTGACGTCAACTTCTATTTTATAATATAACGTTGGTATTGGCTGTGGTTGTTTAAACAAATTGATGATTACTATTATGCCTAGAACTAGAACTGTTCACTACTTACGTTGATTGCCTGTGATTGTCTTTGAGCATTCGAACATCTTTTCTCTGTAAAGCTCGATGAGATTGTACATTCTTTTTCGTTGATTGCTTGTTTTGTTATGTTTTCGTTATCTGATTGATTCTGAAAACTATCGTGAGAGGCTATATCGTCATCAAATCCATTGAAAAGTTGCCAATGCTTCCTGCTTGATTATTGCCTCAGTTGCCTTTAATTGCTTATGTCTGAGAATTCCCTTTTCGAAAACTGTTTTGAGTGACTACAGATGAGAAAAACGAATAAAAGGAAAATTAAAGCATTTTATTGATTTTGAAGCATTTTAGCTACAAAATTGTAATAACTCTAAGTGCCGAAAAAAAATTTGTGCAGGACGGTGGGGCGTTTGCTCCTTTTTTATCCACCAAAATGAATTTAAAGGAATAAAAATATTTACCTCATTTCTCGGCTGAAGTCCTTGATGAATTTCAATCACACATTACGATTAAGCAACGTCTTCTGAGATCAGATTTCAGATCAGCCCATGGAAGTATTGACAAAAGACACTCGCGTTGCTCACTTGATGACTTCACATAACAACTGGAACTTTGACGTCAACTTCTATTTTATAATATAACGTTGGTATTGGCTGTGGTTGTTTAAACAAATTGATGATTACTATTATGCCTAGAACTAGAACTGTTCACTACTTACGTTGATTTCCTGTGATTCTCTTTGAGCATTCGAACATCTTTTCTCTGTAAAGCTCGATGAGATTGTACATGCTTTTTCGTTGATTGCTTGTTTTGTGATAGATTTGTCATCTGATTATTTCTGAAAACTATCGTGAGAGGCTATATCGTCATCAAATCCATTGAAAAGTTGCCAATGCTTCCTGCTTGATTATTGCCTCAGTTGCCTTTAATTGCTTATGTCTGAGAATTCCCTTTTCGAAAACTGTTTTGAGTGACTACAGATGAGAAAAACGAATAAAAGGAAAATTAAAGCATTTTATTGATTTTGAAGCATTTTAGCTACAAAATTGTAATAACTCTAAGTGCCGAAAAAAAATTTGAGCAGGACGGTGGGGCATTTGCTCCTTTTTATCCACCAAAATGAATTTAAAGGAATAAAAATATTTACCTCATTTCTCGGCTGAAGTCCTTGATGAATTTCAATCACATATTACGATTAAGCAACGTCTTCTCATCCTTTCGTATCAGTCTTTTACATGCAGATTTCAGATCAGCCCATGGAAGTATTGACAATAGACACTCGCGTTGCTCATTTGATGACTTCACATAACAACTGGAACTTTGACATCAACTTCTATTTTATAATATAACATTGGTATTGGCTGTGGTTGTTTAAACAAATTGATGATTACTATTATGCCTAGAACTAGAATTGTTCACTACTCACGTTGATTTCCTGTGATTGTCTTTGAGCATTCGAACATCTTTTCTCTGTAAAGCTCGATGAGATTGTATATGCTTTTTCGTTGATTGCTTGTTTTGTGATGTTTTCGTTATCTGATTGATTCTGAAACTGTCGTGAGAGGCTATATCGTCATGAAATCCATTGAAAAGTTGCCGATGCTTCCTGCTTGATGATTGTCTCAGTTGCCTTTAATTGCTTATGTCTGAGAATTCCCTTTTCGAAAACTGTTTTGAGTGACTACAGATGAGAAAAACGAATAAAAGGAAAATTAAAGCATTTTATTGATTTTGAAGCATTTTAGCTACAAAATTGTAATACCTCTAAGTGCCGAAAAAAAATTTGTGCAGGACGGTGGAGCGTTTGCTCCTTTTTAATCCACCAAAATGAATTTAAAGGAATAAAAATATTTACCTCATTTCTCGGCTGAAGTCCTTGATGAATTTCAATCACACATTACGATTAAGCAACGTCTTCTCAGATCAGCCCATGTAAGTATTGACAATAGACACTCGCGTTGCTCATTTGATGACTTCACATAACAACTGGAACTTTGACGTCAACTTCTATTTTATAATATAACGTTGGTATTGGCTGTGGTTGTTTAAACAAATTGATGATTACTATTATGCCTAGAACTAGAACTGTTCACTACTTACGTTGATTGCCTGTGATTGTCTTTGAGCATTCGAACATCTTTTCTCTGTAAAGCTCGATGAGATTGTACATGCTTTTTCGTTGATTGCTTGTTTTGTGATGTTTTCGTTATCTGATTGATTCTGAAAACTATCGTGAGAGGCTATATCGTCATCAAATCCATTGAAAAGTTGCCAATGCTTCCTGCTTGATTATTGCCTCAGTTGCCTTTAATTGCTTATGTCTGAGAATTCCCTTTTCGAAAACTGTTTTGAGTGACTACAGATGAGAAAAACGAATAAAAGGAAAATTAAAGCATTTTATTGATTTTGAAGCATTTTAGCTACAAAATTGTAATAACTCTAAGTGCCAAAAAAAAATTTGTGCAGGACGGTGGGGCGTTTGCTCCTTTTTAATCCACCAAAATGAATTTAAAGGAATAAAAATATTTACCTCATTTCTCGGCTGAAGTCCTTGATGAATTTCAATCACACATTACGATTAAGCAACGTCTTCTCAGATCAGATTTCAGATCAGCCCATGTAAGCATTGACAAAAGACACTCGCGTTGCTCATTTGATGACTTCACATAACAACTGGAACTTTGACATCAACTTCTATTTTATAATATAACGTTGGTATTGGCTGTGGTTGTTTAAACAAATTGATGATTACTATTATGCCTAGAACTAGAACTGTTCACTACTTACGTTGATTGCCTGTGATTGTCTTTGTGCATTCGAACATCTTTTCTCTGTAAAGCTCGATGAGATTGTACATGCTTTTTCGTTGATTGCTTGTTTTGTGATGTTATTGTATCTGATTGATTCTGAAAACTATCGTGAGAGGCTATATCGTCATCAAATCCATTGAAAAGTTGCCAATGCTTCCTGCTCGATTATTGCCTCAGTAGCCTTTAATTGCTTATGTCTGAGAATTCCCTTTTCGAAAACTGTTTTGAGTGACTACAGATGAGAAAAGCGAATAATTGGTATTGAAGCATTTTAGCTGCAAAATTGTAACAACTCTAAGTGCCGAAAAAAAAATTTGGGCAGGACGGTGGGGCGATTGCTCCTTTTTAATCCACCAAAATGAATTTACAGTAATAAAAAATAATTACCTCATTTCTCGGCTGAAGTCCTTGATGAATTTCAATCACACATTACGATTAAGCAACGTCTTCTCAGATCAGATTTCAGATCAGCCCATGTAAGCATTGACAAAAGACACTCGCGTTGCTCATTTGATGACTTCACATAACAACTGGAACTTTGACATCAACTTCTATTTTATAATATAACGTTGGTATTGGCTGTGGTTGTTTAAACAAATTGATGATTACTATTATGCCTAGAACTAGAACTGTTCACTACTTACGTTGATTGCCTGTGATTGTCTTTGTGCATTCGAACATCTTTTCTCTGTAAAGCTCGATGAGATTGTACATGCTTTTTCGTTGATTGCTTGTTTTGTGATGTTATTGTATCTGATTGATTCTGAAAACTATCGTGAGAGGCTATATCGTCATCAAATCCATTGAAAAGTTGCCAATGCTTCCTGCTCGATTATTGCCTCAGTAGCCTTTAATTGCTTATGTCTGAGAATTCCCTTTTCGAAAACTGTTTTGAGTGACTACAGATGAGAAAAGCGAATAATTGGTATTGAAGCATTTTAGCTGCAAAATTGTAACAACTCTAAGTGCCGAAAAAAAAATTGTGCAGGACGGTGGGGCGTTTGCTCCTTTTTAATCCACCAAAATGAATTTAAAGGAATAAAAATATTTACCTCATTTCTCGGCTGAAGTCCTTGATGAATTTCAATCACACATTACGATTAAGCAACGTCTTCTCAGATCAGATTTCAGATCAGCCTATGTAAGTATTGACAATAGACACTCGCGTTGCTCATTTGATGACTTCACATAACAACTGGAACTTTGACATCAACTTCTATTTTATAATATAACGTTGGTATTGGCTGTGGTTGTTTAAACAAATTGATGATTACTATTATGCCTAGAACTAGAACTGTTCACTACTTACGTTGATTGCCTGTGATTGTCTTTGAGCATTCGAACATCTTTTCTCTGTAGAGCTCGATGAGATTGTATATGCTTTTTCGTTGATTGCTTGTTTTGTGATGTTTTCGTTATCTGATTGATTCTGAAAACCATCGTAAGAGGCTATATCGTCATCAAATCCATTGAAAAGTTGCCAATGTTTTCTGCTTGATGATTGTCTCAGTTGCCTCTAATTGCTTATGTCTGAGAATTCAATTTGAAGCATTTTAACCAGAAAAATGTAGCTACTCTAAGTGCCGGAAAAATTTGGGCAGGACGGTGGGGCGTTTTCTCCATTTTAAGTCACAAAAAGGAATTTAAAGGGATAAAAAAAATTACCTGTTTTTTTTTATGTCTTTAGCCTTTGAGACAAACATTCACATCACCACTTTGCGACGTCTTCTCATCCTTTCGTATCAAACTTTAACATACTGATTCCCAATCAGCACATGCAATCATTGACAATAGACTCAATGTTGCTCACTTGATGACGTCAGAAAATTTGAAACTTTGACGGTTGAATTTGGCGAATGTCAGATAATTTAATTCTTATTTCACAACTTGATGCCAACTTCAAACTTTTTGTCGCAGTTATTTGAGAAATTTCATTAATGGCTGATGACTGCTTGTACCTACGAATGTAATGATCGTTAAACTGATGCCTGTACAAACTTGAGACATTTTATTTAATTCAATACTTACTTCTCAACTTGATGCATGCTTAATCAAGTTGATGTTGCTGAAACTTGATGATGTTCTAAAAAAACATGTTTGCTGCTTGTACCTGTGAAAGTAATGTTCAATAAACGGATGCGATTCAAACTTAAGAAATTTAATTGATTATGATAATTTTCCCAAAACTTATTCACTGCTTGAACCTGCGAAAGAAATGTTTATATAATTTACTCCTGTTCGTACTTGAGAAATTTTTATTAAATCTGATACTTACTTGATCGCGAGGATGATATTTTCTTCATAGTAGATGACTCCTGGAGCTGAAGGTTATCCTTCAACCTGATGACTGCAAGAAAACATATTCAATAAATTACAACCTGCAACCTGATGACTGCTGAACACCTGCGAATGAAATGTCCTTCAGTTTTTATACCTGCTTGAAGTTGAAAATTTATTTTCAGAACTTGATGTTTGATGCTTGAAAGATGCCATCTGGAACTTAAAATTTTTGTTTTTGTGTAGCCTGCTGAAACATAGAAAGAGAACTTTCATTTTATTGATGTCTGTTCTAACTTGAGAAACTTTATTTAATTTAACACTTACTTCTCAACTTGATGATTGCTTCAAACTTGATGTCGCTGAAACTGGAGAATCCTTCTAAAACTTGTACCCGTGACTGAAATGTTGATTAATTTTGATGCTTGCTTGAACTTGATAATTGACGTTTGATTATTTTTTACGCCAATTACAAATTGATTTTTTATCCATAATCTTAATGCCTGATTAGTGATTCAACAGATGTAAACAAATATGAGGGATGGGTCTTTTGGGATCTGTTGGATAAGTCAAAGATAAGTTTTTACTTAAAACCTTTAGTTCTTTGTATGATCACATCATGTGTGTATTTCTAAAAGGGATTGATGTGGTGATATATAGGTGACTGTTCACTATGAATATTAAAGAATTAGTGGTCGTCTGTTCGATAAAATTTTCAACATCTTTAAAACGATTGACAGTCAAAATAAACGATAATGGTTCACGCGATTACAAGAGGCAAAATGTATTTATATGGACACATTCCGCATAAAAAATGCATGTCGCTAGAAAAATGCTTATTTCATGTATATATGTCGCTCCACCATACAGACTAGTAACAGAAGACCCGCCATTTATACATCGAGTTATACTTGTGTCAAAGTACTATACAATACTTCATGAATAAGCACATGCAAACATCGAACAAATAAATTATATCGTGCTAAAACACAAAAGATGATGTATGTTAATGCATTTGATCAAACTATATTATTGAGATTTATACTAATTGAATTAAATGTTTATCATTGACGATAAATCGCAATAAGGATCTAGTAAAATGACTAAAAGTCCCTGCAGCAATACTTACTAAAGAAAGAAAATATAGAGCTTATCAAGGCATGATGTCAAAAGAACAACCAACAATACAAGTGCGTTTAAAGTCATAAATGCAATATTCGATAAAATGGCACACTCCTTAAATAAAATTGCCAAATAAGACTAAGAAAATTCATTCTAATGTTCAGGCAAAGAATGCCACAAGCATGAAATTCAATTCGTTAATAATGAAGAGTCCGCAATAGGTAAAGAGAGTTTTTTGAGAGAAATGAATATAATGTCGTATAATTCTTAATTATTAATTAATATGTATGTAGGATGAGCAGTAACAGAACAGTTTTTATCAGTGACTATAAAATTGAGACAAATGCTGAATGTTAACAATAAAGTATGAAAAAACTCACCAAAATCATTGAGCCTGAAGAGAATTTACATGAAATTTTGAAGTTTAGAGAACCAAGTAACGTGAGAGAATCAGATGTAGCTGTGATAGATGAAGAGGTCGAGCTTGCAGAAAATTATTTAAAGCTACACAGCAATCAAATCGCTTGAGCAAAATTAAGCAGCATATAATCAAGTTTACAACGCAGAAGTAATGATTCAACCAAGATTCAACATAATTTTTATGAATTGTGTTAAAATGTTTCCCAAAATTCATTCAGTTCACTATAATCAACACTTACGAAGTATTCTTATCACGTCTAGCTGACCTTAACAGGAAAAAAAACACAGAATTAATTAATTTGTAAAAAAATATCAGAACTGTACAATGTTGATGCACATTAATTAATATTAATTATTAAAAGCGTCTATCTCTAGCTGTTTGCTCCTCATTCTAAGTAGAGTTGCTATAAAGCAAATAATTTAAAATAAAGGAAGCAAAGGATAGGAGGTAATAATATCTTACAAGCCATACAAAAAAATGGGATAAGAAACTTGCCAAAAAAGGACTTGAAGCTCATAGGGTCGGTAAAAGAGAGTCATCCCATAAGATGAAGTGCTTTATTGTCAAACAAAGGAGATTAATGGCATCCTCAACAATCTTTATCAATAATTCCTGTACCAACGCAATTAGTGCAGTATTGGGAATGCAAGACATTCAGACAATTGATTCAATGAATAAAATGGATTAAACTGTAATAACTGGATTTGTAATAGTACGTCCAAAATTTACACATGACATTTAATAGAATGGATGAACACTCCGACCTGAAATTGTTCGGAACTACAAACAGTAAAGCATATTCTTAACTGCTAACGTATGCATGCATTAAGAAATGATTGGATTGTAGAGTCTATTCTAGTCGCTAAGAAGAAAGCGTTTGAAATGGAAAATAATTCTTTTGAATCTATGTTTTTAGGACATGACCAGTCTATAGGGAGAATCTAAAAGGATATTGTTGTGGCAATATAAAGACAATAAAGCAAAAACTGGAGAACTCACTTTTTCAAAATATTCCTTCTACCTTGCAAGCTGTTATTTAAAGGTGACTTAGACTTTGCTTTTCTTTCACATAATCGATACTTGCTTCCTTGCTGATTGTTTACCATGCTCTTTGATGGTGTTACACAGATCTTTGCCTTTTTGCAATCACTTGTAACTTCGTTCTTGACTTTCATATCCCATTAAAAAATGCATTCGTTGCACTCAATATGTATACATGCAATCAAATGCTGAAAATAAAATTCAATTAGATTTAAAATTTTTTCTTGGTCTTAAGACAATTTAATGCTTACTATTTAAAGATCATGATTTTTTTTCAACAGATCCAAGATTCCTCAGTCATTTTCCAAGATGTAGCAGTTCCTGTGATGTAACGTTATTGATAAACACGTCAGTAAAGCTTTCTATTGCACAGTTGAAAAATTCCTGTAGAAAAATCACACTTTTTCATTTTTCAATGGTTGTTTTAATAATTTTTATTCCTTGCAGATTAAAGAAGATAAGATGAAAATCATATTTTTGGATATTCAATCTAACACTAAATCGGCTGCAGCATCATATTCAGTACACCAAGTAGGAATTACGTAATAAATCAACAGCCGCTTTTATAAATCAGCAAATTTGTTGATAAACTCGATAATTATTGAAGTGAAATATTATCAGTGCTGATTATTTACACAGGATGCTGAAAGGAAGATGTAAATCACCTTCAATTCTGCATTTATCGAGCAGCAGAGCAGACTAGAGATTTGGTGAGAAAATTCTCTGTTCGGTAATAAAAATCTATTCTTTTTTGTCCTCAATACTCGAAGCATTTCCTGAATCGTTTGACTGCATGGTATACATTTCTTAGTTCAATCGACTAAATTTGTGTCCCTGTTGTGGAAGATGATGAAGATGAAATTGAATGCAGGATAATTTTATCTGTCTCAATGGCTTTTCATGAACAAAAACGTGAGAGTGGATCGTCAAGATCCAAATCTAATGATTCATACGCACTGATTTAAGTACTTGTCAATTACTTTCTGTTGTGGCTTTGAATTTGTGAAACCAATTTTCAATCTCATGCCAGTCAATTGATTCAATGAAAGTTCACGTCTCATTTGTGCTGTTTTGGATTATGAATATCAATTATGTCATGTTTTCTTTCACCTCATGCAAATTCATCGGTCCAGCATTATGTAAATTTATTTCATACGTCGAAATTAGAAAGAACAACCGTGTCATCAGTGCAATCGTGTTGTTATCAGAATCAATAATTAATATAACAGTTAAAGAGTCTCAAGATCTAATAACTAAATCTAGCGACTTAAAGATGAAAATAGATGATTTGGTCTCACAGGAGACCTCTTCAAATAAAAGGATGTGAGGGTTAAAGAGAGTGAACCAAAGTTAAGGCGCTATTTCATCATAAAAAAAGCGTTGATTATATAAGCAACTTGACGTTAAACAGTTGTGGATCAGTTAATATCATAAACAAGAACATGTCCAATCTGACTATAAAATACAGATAAATACATGCAAAACGAAAACTGAATGCTAGACTCGAAAAATTGTGAGATTTTCTATACACACACTATTTACCCCTGTTTGACTCCTACCTTTTAAAAATAAAGTTGTTTACTTCATTTCCAGAATCTACTAGAAGGTCTCTCAATCTTCGGTTTAAACTTTAAAACTACTAAGTCATCATCATTATTCTTTATTTTGATTTACATCAATTGTCATTTGTCAATGACATTTAATTTGCAGATTACAGTATTCTTTTAAGGTTTAATAAATAAATGCGAAATAACAATCCTTTATTATACTTAACAAAAGTCGCGATATAAATAAATTAATAATCATTCTTCTTCAATCTGGAGTAAAAAAGCTCATCAAATAAAAATTAAAACATTCTGTTTATATTTCACACGAGATGTGCTTAATTTCCAGTTGATCAAATACGGAACTGACAAGATTGCACTATAAATATGTAACTCAAATTTTACAGTATCATTAGTTGAAATTTAACTGTCATTATGAAGTTTCAAGTCACGACAATTTTTGTAACAAGTTTGATAACAATAGTAATCAGTCAGTGGGATCCTCACTTTATTGGAAATCGTCAAGGAATTGTTCATCTTTTTGAATGAAAATGGCTTGAATTTGCTGATGAGTGTGAGACATTTTTGGGGCCAAATAATTTTGGAGGAGTTCAAACTAGTGTTGCAAATGAAAATGTGATTATTAGTGGACGTCCATGGTACGAACGTTATTAGCCAATGTCATTTAAATTAGAAACACGATCCGGAAATGAAAAAGAATTCAGGGAAATGGTTGTAAGATGTAGAAATGCAGGAATTAGAATTTATGTTGATGTTGTTGTGAATCATATGGCAGCATCCCAACCATCAACGCCTGCTATTGGTACAGCCGGCTCAGAAGCATATCCGAGTGATCGATGGTATCCTGCTGTACCATTCAATAAGAGCGATTTTAATGCTGCCTGTTCAATTGAAAACTATAATGATCCAAAACAAGTTATCATCCTTTCGTACCAGTCTTTTACATTCAGATTTCAGATCAGCCCATAGAAGTATTGACAAAAGACACTCGCGTTGCTCATTTGATGACTTCTCATAACAACTGGAACTTTGACATCAACTTCTATTTTATAATATAACGTTGGTATTGGCTGTGGTTGTTTAAACAAATTGATGATTACTATTATGCCTAGAACTAGAACTGTTCACTACTTACGTTGATTTCCTGTGATTGTCTTTGAGCATTCGAACATCTTTTCTCTGTAAAGCTCGATGAGATTGTACATGCTTTTTCGTTGATTGCTTGTTTTGTGATGTTTTCGTTATCTGATTGATTCTGAAAACTATCGTGAGAGGCTATATCGTCATCAAATCCATTGAAAAGTTGCCAATGCTTCCTGCTTGATTATTACCTCAGTTGCCTTTAATTGCTTATGTCTGAGAATTCCCTTTTCGAAAACTGTTTTGAGTGACTACAGATGAGAAAAACGAATAAAAGGAAAATTAAAGCATTTTATTGATTTTGAAGCATTTTAGCTACAAAATTGTAATAACTCTAAGTGTCGAAAAAAAATTTGTGCAGGACGGTGGGGCGTTTGCTCCTTTTTAATCCACCAAAATGAATTTAAAGGAATAAAAATATTTACCTCATTTCTCGGCTGAAGTCCTTGATGAATTTCAATCAAACATGACGATTAAGCAATGTCTTCTCATCCTTTCGTACCAGTCTTTTACATGCAGATTTCAGATCAGCTTATGAAAGTGATGACAATAGACACTCGCGTTGCTCATTTGATGACTTCTCATAACAACTGGAACTTTGACGTCAACTTTTATTTTATAATATAACGTTGGTATTAGCTGTGGTTGTTTAAACAAATTGATGATTACTATTATGCCTAGAACTAGAACTATTCACTACTTACGTTGATTGCCTGTGATTGTCTTTGAGCATTCGAACATCTTTTCTCTGTAAAGCTCGATGAGATTGTACATGCTTTTTCGTTGATTGCTTGTTTTGTGATGTTTTCGTTATCTGATTGATTCTGAAAACTATCGTGAGAGGCTATATCGTCATCAAATCCATTGAAAAGTTGCCAATGCTTCCTGCTTGATTATTGCCTCAGTTGCCTTTAATTGCTTATGTCTGAGAATTCCCTTTTCGAAAACTGTTTTGAGTGACTACAGATGAGAAAAACGAATAAAAGGAAAATTAAAGCATTGATTGATTTTGAAGCATTTTAGCTACAAAATTGTAATAACTTTAAGTGCCGAAAAAAATTTGGGCAGGACGGTGGGGCGTTTGCTCTTTTTGAATCCACTAAAATGAATTTAAAGGAATTAAAAATAATTACCTCATTTCTCGACTGAAGTCCTTGATGAATTTCAATCATACATTACGATTAAGCAACGTCTTCTCAGATCAGATTTCAGATCAGCCCATGGAAGCATTGACAAAAGACACTCGCGTTGCTCATTTGATGACTTCACATAACAACTGGAACTTTGACATCAACTTCTATTTTATAATATAACGTTGGTATTGGCTGTGGTTGTTTAAACAAATTGATGATTACTATTATGCCTAGAACTAGAACTGTTCACTACTTACGTTGATTGCCTGTGATTGTCTTTGAGCATTCGAACATCTTTTCTCTGTAAAGCTCGATGAGATTGTATATGCTTTTTCGTTGATTGCTTGTTTTATCTGATTGATTCTGAAAACTATCGTGAGAGGCTATATCGTCATCAAATCCATTGAAAAGTTGCCAATGCTTCCTGCTTGATTATTGTCTCAGTTGCCTTTAATTGCTTATGTCTGAGAATTCCCTTTTCGAAAACTGTTTTGAGTGACTACAGATGAGAAAAACGAATAAAAGGAAAATTAAAGCATTTTATTGATTTTGAAGCATTTTAGCTACAAAATTGTAATAACTCTAAGTGCCGAAAAAAAAATTTGAGCAGGACGGTGGGGCGTTTGCTCCTTTTTAATCCACCAAAATGAATTTAAAGGAATAAAAATATTTACCTCATTTCTCGGCTGAAGTCCTTGATGAATTTCAATCACACATTACGATTAAGCAACGTCTTCTGAGATCAGATTTCAGATCAGCCCATGGAAGTATTGACAATAGACACTCGCGTTGCTCATTTGATGACTTCACATAACAACTGGAACTTTGACGTCAACTTCTATTTTATAATATAACGTTGGTATTGGCTGTGGTTGTTTAAACAAATTGATGATTACTATTATGCCTAGAACTAGAACTGTTCACTACTTACGTTGATTGCCTGTGATTGTCTTTGAGCATTCGAACATCTTTTCTCTGTAAAGCTCGATGAGATTGTATATGCTTTTTCGTTGATTGCTTGTTTTATCTGATTGATTCTGAAAACTATCGTGAGAGGCTATATCGTCATCAAATCCATTGAAAAGTTGCCAATGCTTCCTGCTTGATTATTGCCTCAGTTGCCTTTAATTGCTTATGTCTGAGAATTCCCTTTTCGAAAACTGTTTTGAGTGACTACAGATGAGAAAAACGAATAAAAGGAAAATTAAAGCATTTTATTGATTTTGAAGCATTTTAGCTACAAAATTGTAATAACTCTAAGTGCCGAAAAAAAATTTGTGCAGGACGGTGGGGCATTTGCTCCTTTTTAATCCACCAAAATGAATTTAAAAGAATAAAAATATTTACCTCATTTCTCGGCTGAAGTCCTTGATGAATTTTAATCACACATTACGATTAAGCAACGTCTTCTCATCCTTTCGTATCAGTGTTTTACTTGCAGATTTTAGATCAGCCCATGGAAGTATTGACAATAGACACTCGCGTTGCTCACTTGATGACTTCACATAACAACTGGAACTTTGACGTCAACTTCTATTTTATAATATAACGTTGGTATTGGCTGTGGTTGTTTAAACAAATTGATGATTACTATTATGCCTAGAACTAGAACTGTTCACTACTTACGTTGATTGCCTGTGATTGTCTTTGAGCATTCGAACATCTTTTCTCTGTAAAGCTCGATGAGATTGTACATGCTTTTTCGTTGATTGCTTGTTTTGTGATAGATTTGTCATCTGATTATTTCTGAAAACTATCGTGAGAGGCTATATCGTCATCAAATCCATTGAAAAGTTGCCAATGCTTCCTGCTTGATTATTGCCTCAGTTGCCTTTAATTGCTTATGTCTGAGAATTCCCTTTTCGAAAACTGTTTTGAGTGACTCCAGATGAG